AAGAGAGCACCCAGTTCACAACACACGTTCATTAAATATCTGTTAACAGAATAAACAAAAAAATCAGCAGACGCTGGGCTCACATCTTCTCCCCTCCTCCCTCCAAACTGTATTTCTTAGGTGTAACCCCTTCTCAGCCTCACCTTCTTTTCTGTCCAAGGGCTTCTGATTGGTACAATAATGACTCACAAAGATGCCCATGACCAATCCTCAAAACCTGTAACTGTGTCACCTCACATGGCAAGAGAGAATCGAGTGTGTGGGTGCACCCAAAACATATAAAATAGGGTGAATGCTTAAAAAATGAAACATGGAAACTGTGTATTAAATTTATTTCAATTTAAGATGCCAACCTGTATAAAAATATATGCTCAGTTTGACAAAAATTGCTATAATCATGTAGAAGCAAGACAAAGGATAGCACGTGGAAAGATAGCAGACACTTCCTGTACCACTCCTGCTGTTGATATTGCAGTCACACCTTTAGCCTGGTCAGCAGAGTTGTCCTGCTTGGCAGGGCCACCAGGATTAAGAGGGAACCAGGCCAAAGTTGGCACAGGACACATGAGAAAGAAGGAGGGCACAAAGCAGTGCAGGAAAGGGGGTGTAGTAAGCCTGTTTGGGGTGAGAACATTGGAGAAGATTGGAGAAGAATTCCTACAGGCAGAGAACGAACCAAGGCTGTGACTGAGGCAGCAGGAAACAGAGCACTTTGCCCTGGGTCTGGCAATGTCTTAATCTCTTTATGCAGTTACTTAATTGAGTGTTATGACAAACCTGTCAGGTAAGTACATTTCAGATTCCATTGTCACAGGCCGATTCCTACCCCACCCCCAAAGTAATACATTGACATCTCAAGCTTCAGTACCCCAGATGTGACTGTACCTGGGATGGAATCTTCAAAGAGATAATTAAGTTAAAATGAGGGCATTTGGGCGAGGCCCTAGTGCTTAGAAGAGGAGCTTAGGACACAGTCACACACACACACACACACAGAGAGAGAGAGAGAGAGAGAGAGAGAGAGAGAGAGAGAAAAGACCTTTTGGAAATGCAGGAAGGCACTACCCACAAGCCAAAGAGAGAGACCCTGGAAGAAACCTGTCCTGCTGCACCTTGATCTCAGAATCTTAGCCTCCAGGACTCTAAGGAAATAGAATTCTGCTGCTCCAGCCAGTCGTTGGCACTTTGTTGTGGCAGCCCTAGGAAGCTAACACACCCACTTACTTATAAAGACATTGAACCACATATTGGCTGAGTAAATTGCTTTGAGCCCACAGAAGTGATCATTTCCACAATGGGTTTCAAGTTCAAACTTTCTCTAGAACCTGTCTTCCTAACCATCATAAGGATGGTACTTATTTTAAAGAACATGTGGTTTGATAGACTAAACTGTGTTAGAAATGATGTAGAAATAGGAAGGGATGGGTATTAAAAAAAAAAAAAAGGCTTTTCTCCAGATCTGAGTTGGTCTATAAAATACTTAACTTGCTGAAGCTTTTTGAGGAAAAGAGCTGGTCTGGAGGGAAGCCTTAGGGACATTCATCGTGTGGCCAAGAAGAGGCAGGTGTGCTCAGAGAGCACACAGCACACGGGAAGCCAAGGTCCTGGTGTTGCAGACTCTGTGGACACACCGCTCTGCACAGCTTCCCCACTGATTTTCTGGTGGACTCTGGTCAGTTTCTGCATCCTTCTCCCACAAGCCTTGTGAATGTCAAAGAAGCACAGCCCCTGAGACACCTGCTGGGAGAAGCAGGGAAGAAAGTTGTATTGAAATGTTTTCAGAGTATCAACCTGAAGAATGTTCTGGAATCCGTAAGATCCAAGGCTAAGGATAGAGTTTATCCATTATTCTCCTGAAGTTGGCAGTTTTGAGAAAGATACCCTGGGTAAACATGATCTCTCTAACAAAGAAACAGGGTAGGATAGTGGTGTAGTTTACTGGTAAAGCATTTGCCTAGCTTGTATGAGGAACTGGATTCAATCCTCACAACCACAACCATAAAAAAAAAAGAAAGAAAAGAGAAAGAGACTTATGGGATTATGTTCCCAGACCATTTGAATCATCCAGCACTAACCAAATATTTAAATCCCCCTTCACCAGCACTTTGTCAATACATAGAAAGCCTCTCTGCACAAACTATGGCAAACCCAAGGCATGCATTGACCCTGGCCTTTGAGCCCACCCCAGTGGAGGGAAACACACAGGTCCCTCCCTGTCCTGGTTACTCCCTTTCCTTGGCTTTCCCGTCCTCGTCACTCTCTTACCGCACCTTGCCATGTTTGGGGTCTTTTTTTACTGCACTCGTTGTTTGATGCTACCATACAAATTACCACACATCTTGTGACTTAGAACAATGCAAACTTGTTCCACAGTGCGATGGTTAGCACTCTGGACTCTGAACAATGCAAACTTGTCATCTTATGGTTCTGTAGGTCAGAAGTCTAACGCAGGTCTCACCTGAGTAAAATCAAGGTCCGCAGGGTGTGTTCCTTTCTGAAGGATCTGGGAGAGAACCCATTGCTTTGCCCTCCCACTCCCTTCTGCTATCTTCAAACCTGCAGAGGTCCATCTCTCTTCCCTCTGAGCCTGCTTGTTCAGTCACCCTGGTCATGTGTCTCTCTGAACACGGCTAGGAAAGGTTCTGTACTTTTAAGGACCTGTGTGATTAGATTTGGCCCACTGAGATAAACAGGACATTCTCCCTATAGGGCCCAATCTAATCTAATCAAGATCAGATGATTAGCAGTTTTAATTCCATCTGCATCCTTAAGTCTCATTTACCATCCAAGTAAATATATTCACCAAACTCTTGGATCAGAATGTAGTACATCCATTACAGGAATATTCCACTAGGGGGCACTAACACATTTCTTAATATAATCACAAAATTCAGGAAATAGGAGTTTGACCTAATTAAATATCATCAATTAAAAGGAACATACCAATATTCCTTATTGGAGTTTTGCAAAGGTTTTGTTAAAGAGCACAGGAAAATAAAGGGCAAAGTGAATTCTTCAGTACCGAAAGCGCCTGAGCATAAAGCAAAATAAGAGTTAGAATGTGACAAGATTTCCACAGTCTCCACCAGCAATCAGAATGACATGGCAGGGGGTGGGGAATAGCTGTGTATTTAAAGGGTAGAGCACGTGTTCTGTCACACGGGTTTTAAGAAATTACTCCTCAGTCTGGCAGATGAGGGCATGATTACTTTTGGTCAAGATACCATTGCCCAGGATGTGTGCATGAAAGATGCAGTAAATTTACCCAATGGTGCCAGGAGGGGGACGAAGAGAGCAGACACCTGGGAGTACGGGAATAGGAGTTGGGACAGGACAGCTAGAATGAAATGTATTACACAAAATTGCAAAAGATTGATGGAGATGTCTCTGAGCTCCCCACCATCTAGAGACTCTGTTTTCTTCCCAGTCCTGTTGTTAGGGACATAGGAGCCTGCCTTGCATAGGAGAAATGGAGTAAGTTCTCAAAACTCTTGCATGCAGTGGCCTTGGGTAGAAGAAAGCAAAGGGAAGGTGGTAAGAAGGAAGAGTGGAAGGCAAACACCTGGCTCCTGATGTGGGCACGCAGGTTAGCAGCAGCATTTCAGTGCCTTGGTTGATGCAGAGAAGGAAGAAGAGACCAGAGAAGCCTCTTTGTAGTCAAAGGGAAGGGTTGTGAAGGAGCCATGTGTCTGAGGAGACTGAATTAGCTGGAAGGGGGACAGGAAGGTGAAGTCAGCAACCTCCTAAATCTTGATTTAAACTAGTATGAAAAGTGCGTGCGAAAAACAATAATACCTTGAAGTGTAATTCTTCACTTCTACAATGTTGGAAGGTCTAAGAGAGAAAACCCAAAGCCCAGTTAGACAGAGGGCTTAGCTTGGTGGATGTGGGTAAACTGAAAGGTTTCTGAAGGCGATATTTGGGGTGAGGGAGTTGACTGATGTTAAATTATTCACTTCAGTGGGATTTTGAGAATGAAAACGGTTTTCCTTCCCTCAAGACCCACAGGTAGGATGTGGCGGATTTCCCAGGACAACACAGACCCCTATGGGTGAAGTAGAGTCAAGCTCGCTCCCCACACTCTTTTCCAGAAAGGTATGGTGCTGGAACACACACACACACCACACACACACACAGAGCACGTGTCCTTGGACAAGAGTCCTCCATGAGAGTCCTCCCCTTGCTCACCTGGAATGGAAACTGTTGGAGCTGCACCTCCCACCCCGAAGAGGGCTGGCAGCAAAGTCATCTCTGACTTTGGAGGGTGGCTTTGAAACTGGGATGAAACTTGCTTCTTCCCTGGGGATGAAAACTATTTGACAAAGTACTGAAGAGCTCAGGGAAGCTCCAGCTGTGGTGGGAGGAATTAGGAGGGGTCTAGGGCAGTCCCCTTCCCTCCCAGGAATACCATTGCCCCAAGAAAAAGAGCACAAGAAAAGCTGATATTGTGTGTGTGTGTGTGTGTGTGTGTGTGTGTAGCACGTGGTACGTGGCAGATGTATACAATTTTATTCATCTTAAGTTGTTAAAAGAAACTTTAAGGATGATCCAAGGTACTGAAGAGAGAGAGAAGAGGAAAAGGAAAAAAGAAACTCCTCCTGTCGTCTTGAAGGGAGCAGCTGCTGGCTGCAGCACCCATCGCCGAGTCTCATCTGCCGAAGAACAACAGGGCCACGTGTCCAGGATTCTGAGCTGGAATCAGAGTGGTAAAATCCAGGATGTGGGTTTGACTGTTTTTCCACCTTAGCTGCTTTTAAAAGGTAGCAACTAAAAAATATACCAGTGAATAGACAGTCGGTAAGATACTTGGAATGCTTTCTGCAGAGTTGAAATGGCATTCTAAAAATAGCAGAAGGCAGTTTTGATAACAGTGTAAGCTTCATGTTCTCACATTTCTGAGTGATGACAAACATGTTTTGCCAGTTTGTAGCATCAAGATCCAAAACACATAAATATTTGGCAATCTTACCAGAATGTATTAATAAGAAAACATGATGCATCCATGAAGACCAGCAGCCTCAAGGAGATTGAGGAAAATGACACTGATCACAGGCGTCCCCAGCCTGAATTGGCCCTGTGACCAGAGGAAAGGGGAGTGGCTTCTCTCTGGGAAATGTCTCTCAGGCCCAAGTAGCTAAATAAGTAGAAATACTGCAAAAAAACACAACTAGAGTCCCCAGGCAGACATCTTCTTGATGCAGGTGTTACGTTATGAGGCTACCATGGGCCCCTGGCTCCTGGGCTCTGTGGTCCTTTGTCTCCTGGGAGCAGGTGAGTCCCAGAACATGTGGACAGCCCTTGGCCTTAGCTTTCAGGCCTCTGCTCTAGTCCTTTCCTGGGGTTACAGCATCCAACGGACCCCAGCTGTCTCTAGCTCTGTCTCCTTCCCTAACAGGCCCCCTGGAAGCCCAGGTGACCCAGAACCCCAGGTACCTCATCACCAAGACTGGAAAGACGTTGACGGTGACTTGTTCTCAGAATATGAACCATGACTGTATGTACTGGTATCGACAAGACCCAGGATTGGGTCTCAAGCTGATCTACCTTTCAATTAATGTTGAAATGTTTGATAAGGGAGATATCTCCGATGGATACATTGTCTCTCGAAAAGAGAAGAAGGAATTTCCTCTGACATTGATGTCAACCAGCATCAACCAGACCTCCCTGTACTTCTGTGCCAGTAGTTTATCCACAGCACAGCACAGACAGCTGCTCTCTGCACAAAAAGGGGCAGCCACAAAAATAGGTGACTCCTCCCCAGGAAGGTCCCACCCAAAACAAAAGGAAAATTGCTCCCACCACCATTGACCATAGAAACCCTCCCCACACCCCAGCTTTCGGGGCTCTCTATAATGGTTAACACCTGGGGGATTGTTCTCCTTTCCCCCACCATACCAAGGAGCTTTTCAGAGTCCAAGAAGGAGAAGTCACTGTCTGGGGTCTGGGGTTACAGTCTACAATCCTCTTCCATGTGGAGCTTTAATCTTTAAATACAATTGAGCTGTTGCCCAAACGAACCATTTCATTTCCAATCTACTTGCCACAAAATTTGGTCCCTTACTCCAGGTCCCCTTCCTGATGTCTCCATGATTGGAGAGAACACCATGTTCTGAAGATGTTCTGAGTTGTTGACTAAATCCAGTGCCCCCCAGCTTCCCCATTTCAGCAGACAGATTCTGCCACCACCAAAATCAAACAAGCCAGAGATGCAGGAGTGACCTTCCCTGTCTCCCCCACCCATTCTCCTCTATAGCAGATCCCCTGCCCTGTCCTGCATGTTCCCAGGTTCTCCACATTTTTACTGACTTTCCTGACCTCACGGATACACTGTGGACCTGCAAATATTGTCTCTCACCTGGATTCCTTTAACCACACTCAAATGGCAGTCCGCCTGCCAGCATGCTACCTGCTCCTACACCCTCCAGGGCCTTCCCATTAAATTTCAGGGTCAAGTTTCTGTGAGTTTGCAAGTCTCTCCGCATCCCCATGATTCTGTGGCTATGCACCTGTCCCCCTTCCCAAGGTGGACTTTCCCTTGCCTTCAGCTGACGTTCTATCCAGAGATGTTCCACGTCTCTCAGGCTCACAGATGTGACTTTTGCTGACTCACTTCTAGGCCTTCCTCTATTATGGTCACTCTACCTTCATCCCTGTTCCTCTCCCTGGATGTACCTCTGGATACCTAACTAACCACTTTAAAAGTCATTTTGAAGCCAGAATTAGACAAGCAGATAGGCAAGGGTCAGATCCAGAAAATGGAGGGATTGAAATGTTAATTCCTTCAGAGCCCTTCCTCCACTCTTATCAAGAACCTGCCCCTGCTCCAACCTGTTGCCAAGGGAAACTTCAGCAGGAATAGCCCCCCTAATAGGAAGTTATAAAGTTGTCCTGAGCTTCTCCATCTGCCCCAATAAGTCTATGTTGCCCTTTTTAAAACAAACCCTGCTTCTCCAATGTTATACTCCAACATGGAATGGAGCAGAACTCTTCACCGGTAACCAGTAGTATCAATTTCAACCAAGATGACCTTAAATCCCTGATGGATCAGTTCCTCTTGTGTTCTCTTATAGCATGCTGAACAGAGCTAATCCTAACACTCAGACTCCACCACAAACTCACCTGCCATGGAGACCATGATTCTTGGCTGTGAAGACCTTTGTCCCCTTAGAAGAGGCAGGTCAGATTCCCAGGTATGATACCCTTGAACTTGGTGTGCCAGACCATATAGTAAGCGTTTTTCTTTGGTTATACTTCAGTATCCTTCCTAAATTCTCCCTCTTTTTATCCACAATGTTCATGAATCATGGTGTCACTGAGATCCCTATTAGGTTTCAGGGTCAGAAAAGAAGGTCAGAAAAGGTGAACCACAATATGTACCATGATCTATATGTGTGAGTCAGGGCAAGAGCCAGGAGGAAGGATACAATTAATCTATTGGTGCCTGGGGTACCCCAAAATGGGACAGCTCTGAGAAATGTGCTGTCTTGAGACTAGACTGAACATTTCTCCCAACCTTCAGACACGCAGCCCCCTCACACACTCTGCCAGCAGTTAGCCCACAACTCTATGCAGTCACTTCCTCTCTGCACAGAAAGGGGAGAGCTGGCCTTCCTGAGCCCTGCCCTCACCAAAGAAGGCCCAGCGAGAAGCACTCAGAAGCCCATCCTGTCTCCCCATTCTGGAGATATTGAGGCTCTAGGGGGTCTAGGGCTTTCCATACTAGTCCCTTTCACAGAAATGGCCTGAGTCAACCCAGCTTCTCATGCCACCTCTTGGAGATCTGGCCCTCGGACTCCCTCCTGCAGGAGTGCACAGGCCCTTCCTTTTATTTACCTCTGTGTGCCAGGGAACAAACTTTACCTTAGTCTAAAGCCTTTCATTTAAGCATGTCAGACTACCTTGTACATTTATAGATTTTGCCCAAAATGGCCATTTTCAGAATTTACATGTCTTGTGCATTTTAGTAAAGGATGACTTTTTTCTGTTATTATTTCTTTTAAAACCCATTTTAGTAAAGAATGACTTTTTTCTGTTATTATTTCTTATAACCATGATTTATTGATTTAAAACTTTTTGTATAAGCAAATGGTCCAGTGAAATTTCATGTTGAGCCATGTCAGCAAGTTGATCCATGGTAAGGGTCCATCTGTTGGGTGAGGGATCAGTGTTTATGGTAAGGTCAAAACTAAGAATATGGGTCATGATGACTTCATATTATTCCAAACAGAATAGAAACTGTCCCATGCCTGTGACTGATTTTGTGTACATAGCTGCATTTTCAAAAACTGATATACCATGAAGAAATCTAAATGGATGATGTAAGTGTAATAACTACAAGAAAAACGTTATTGGAAAATATAAGCATCACTGTGATATCTGTGTCTGACCCTTTTGTTTTGATCACTGGTTTTTCATGTGCACCAAAATCACCTGGTGAGATGGTTTTTCTTTTTGTTGTGGTAAGGACATTTAGCATGAGGCCCAGTAAGCAAATTAATTTAACAAAATTTTACATGTCCAATGCAGTCCTGTAAATTGAGCTACAGGTGGTATAGCCTTCTCTTCCGTCATGGCCTTTCTACAGTTAAATAACTGCTCCCCATTCTCCCATCCTCTTCCCCTGGAAAGCAGCATTCAACACTCTGCTTCTACTGGTTGACATTTTTACTAATGAAAATAAACCAGCCATGGAAAGAAAATGTTGCATTGGAAGAAGTCTTTAACCACATAGTGATGATAAATGCAGACAATCAATTGGGTTTTGTTATTATTCTTAACTTCTCCACCAATAACACACTCACTGTTGCTTGCATCCACTATTGGTATTCCTCTGTCCCCGGCACCCCGCCTGGTGAACCTGCATGTGTGGGCATTTGCACCACTGCAATCACCATTACCAATGCAGCAGCATGGAAAGAAAGGTTCCCAGTAAAAGGAATTTGCCCCATACCCACTAGAAAAATCATGCATACGTACCCACTTCTATGGAAACAAAACAGCAGCAATTGGAACAGAAGTACCTAAAAATAAATATTTTGATATACCAAATCCATACTTAAAGACATATACCTCCCACACACATACATACATACACATTCTCTCTCTCTCTCTCTCTCTCTCTCTCTCTCTCTCTCTCTCTCTCTCTCCTCCAGACTCCAGTCTTGTGATGGAGGAGGGATGGTGAGCATGGGCAGGAAGATGACATCACAGTCAGCCTGCAGCTGGGAGAAGACCCATTCTTTCCTCAAAACTGCCATGGGAGTGAGGCTGCTCTGGGGGGTGGCCCTTTGTTTCCTGGCAGTGGGTGAGTCCTGGGAGTTGGTGGCTGAGGTGGGGTGGAAAGCCCTGTCCTGTTCTTTGCAGGACTTGGATCCAGGATTTTTCCCTTATCATACTTCCTATTGGCCTCTCTTTTCACCTCCTCTATCCTCTCGCAGGCCTTGTGGACACAGGAGTAACCCAGACCCCGAGATTCCTTGTCAAAAGGATGGGGGAGAAAGCTGTGCTGGAGTGTTTACAGGATATGGACTATGAAAGAATGTTCTGGTATCGACAAGACCCGGGCCTGGGGCTACGGCTGATCTATTTTTCGTATGATGCTGACAATAATGACAAAGGAGATATCCCTGAGGGGTACAGTGTCTCTCGGAAGAAGAGGGAGAGATTCTCCCTGATCCTGGAGTCTGCCAGCTTCACACAGACGGCTCTGTACCTCTGTGCCTGCAGTAAAGCCACAGTACTGCACAGCCACAGCCTCCCTGCACAAAAAAGAAAGTAACTTTGCTCGGCCTGATGCTGGCTCCTGGGGCAGGCTGGTGACATTAGAAAAAAGTGACCATGAACAAGAAAACTCAACAATATCAATTATCAGGAGATGATTTCACCCCTGCCAAGTCGGGGTACACTCTAAGGTTAACCTGCCAAACACGTATGTTGTCCCCAACCTGAATCTGTGAGACTCGAGCCAACAAGAAGTCCTCTTAAACTCACACTGAGCCCCGTTCTATCATTTTCTACTAGGTTTCCTTCCCATTTATATCCAAGTCCTCTTCTTGTTCAGCATCTCTGCTGTTAGTAGTGTCACTAGAGGCCACTAATACACTTTAAACCTTTTGAATAAATGTTAATGGTCATGTGCTGATCAAGAAGAAGTTTACAGAATTGGGATTCTGTTCATTCAATAAAGAGAAACACTCTAATTTTTGAAAAAGTGAATTCTCCAGTTTCTCTGATAATCCTCTTACGTTGGGAGAAATCTAGTCGGGGAGGGAATAAACTCTGATGCAAAGAGTGATAAGAACCAGAGAAGATGTGTGTTTGTTTTAGAGAATGACCAGACTACCCTGTCAGAAAATCTTAATTGAGACTTGCCTACTTTTGAAATACAGAAGAAATGTTAAGGGTATTAGAAACCCAAATTATAAGAACTTTGGAAAGCTATAAATGAGACAAAATAGACATAGGAAAACACATTTGGATTTAGTGTTACATTTTTATGTAAAAGAAATAAGAGAAAAAAGTAAATCAATATGTATTGTAATGCCCAGGATTGAGTTTATATGAGAGATCAGACAAGATCTGATTTTGGAGAATTTCAAACAAAGAACTATCAAAAAGAAGAAATACCTGCCAGGTTCTGTGAGCAATCCCATTGGAATGAAGGGAAAGATTCCCTGACATAAGGCTAGAATCACAGGATTCCTTCTGAAGTCAACATCCCGAACAGAGGAAATACATCATCACAATGTATCATTAAGCAACAGAGCACAGGTCTTCAAAATTTATATGCAAGCATCTTCGGTTGTACCCGAGAACCTGACATTTCCCACAAATTCCCTATTTCCCACAGCAAGCACAGCACGAACTCAGATGATCAATCATAAGACAATGTGTCACAAAAGAGGAGGCCAGCTATAAGCACTGTGTGTCTGTTCCCAGTGCCCTCTGGGATCATCCATCATTGTCATTGCCTCCCATGGGTCCCTGGAGGAAAGAGCATTGCCCCAGACCCGACAGGTCCTCCCCTGTCCTGTGGCCAGCTGCTTCTCCACACACCCCCACTCTCACCCTCACCCTCACCCTCACCCCCACAGTGATATGGAGGAGCTGCGGGGTGTTGCACATGTGGTAGGGTTGAGTCACAACTGATGACCCAAAAGCTCAGAGAATTCAGTCCTCAGAAGAGGCTTCTACCACACCTGATCAACCTTTTCCCCAGAGGGAGACTGATCCTTATTATTCGGGACAAGAAACAAATCTTTTCTCTAACCCAAAGGGAGACATGGTCTCACCTTTCAGGGCTGATTGCTGTGCAAATTTCCTTGATGAGATAGTCCAGAAGGAAAGCTGTTGGGGGGTGGGGGGTGGAGAAATTGCAGAGACCCATGAAGTGGTGTCTCCCAACACCTCTCCACTGCCCTGGCAGAGCACAACAATGCAGCACTCAACAATGCAGCACTCCACAGAAGCCTAGTGAAATACTCGTATTTAAAGAAACTACACATTCCTGGGAAAGAGACCCACACCAGCATCTGAGTGACCCTTACAAAATGGTTGGTTTCCAGCCTGGTCTCTTCAAGTGAACTCTAGTAAGCAAGTGCACCATGTTACCAGACACTGGGGATTTCATGCCCTACTTTAACATGAATAAGCAATCAAAGATCATCAGTGTGTGTGTGTGTGTGTGTGTGTGTGTGTGTGTGTGTGAATTGAACTCGGGCATTCTACCACTGATATACATCCCTATCCCTTTTTATTTTTTGAGACAGTGTGTCACTGAATTGCTGCAGCTGGCTTTGAACCCACAATCTTCCTGCTGCAGCTTCCTGAGTCACTGAAATTATAGGCTTGTGCCACCATGCCCAGTGGTATTTCTAACATTTAAGAAAGAAAGCAACTTGGTACAGTGACACATGCCTGTAATCCCAGCAGCTCAGGAGGCGGAGCAGGAGGATCATAAGTTCAAAGTCAGCCTCAGCAAAAGCAAGGCATTAAGCAACTCAGTGAGACCCTGTTTCTAAATAAAATACAAAAATAGTACTGGGAATGTGGCTTAGTCGTCAAGTGCCTCTGAGTTCAATCCCCACATCCTCTCCTCCCCAAAGCAAGAGATAGAGAGGGAGACAAAAGAAAGAGAAAAGAAAAAGAAATAATGGGAACAAAGAAAACTGAGGCAAGCAGACCTAGGAAAGGAAAGAAAGGGAATTTTCAAATAGCAGTCATGCAAATGCTTGTTTCCATCCTAAGGTAAAAGAAATATTCCATTCTTAAAATGGTACAAAAGAAATATATTTCAGGGAGGACACCTATAAACTTTAAGAAAGGCAAAATAAATTGTTTAAAATAAGAGTCAAAAGAAATAGAGCAAAAGAGATGACAGAAAACATGAAAGGGAACATTGGTGGCTTAAGGGGTCAACACAGGAGATCCAACAGTTGCCCGGGAGGAATTCCAGAAAAAGGAAAGAGCAGCTTCTCTCAAAGAAATAATCACACAAAATTTATTCCCCAGAAATGGAAAACATGAGCCTCCACACTGAAAAGGCAACAGCGTTTTTGATGAATTTACAACTAAAACTAAGGCATTGCTTTATGAAATTTCAACACACGGCAGATTCAATGATCCTTATACTATACTACCCAGGACAAAGAAAACTTATAGCTTAAAGCTATATATAAAAAGCTATAAGAGAATTAGAAAGCCGAATGACATTAGATTTCTCAGCAACACTGAATTCTAGAAAACAGTGATGCAAGAAATATCTATAAAATTCTGATAGAAAATGATTTTCAACATATATTTCTCCACAAACTCAAGATATCAAAAAAATACAAACAAAAAGACAATTTCATTTATATTAGAATCCAAGACTTTTACTTCTATTTTACCCTTTTTGGGGAAATTACAAAACGTGTGCCCAAAGGAAATTATGAAAGAAAAACAAAATAAAAAGAACTCATGGAAATCTTATTCAGAATAACAGAACAGCTAGACAGTAGAACTAACTCGCAATCAGTCCAAACAGGGGGCTCTAGAATTACATTTCAAATATGGCCAAAATACGGACTGTGGATCTGTCTGTCCATACTGTTTCAGGAAACCATCCATGGATTCTACTGTCAGTTTGCATGGCTTATCCAAGACCCAGATCCATAATGGAGAAGGTGATCCCATTAAAATGAGCCTAGAATTTTCAGAAGCTTCATATACACAGAGGAATGAGAAAACTAGAATCTTCTGATCATTAAGCAGCATTAAAAAGGATGAGGCAATTGTGATAATGGCCTGGCGACTCCTGAAGACACACCTTCCAGGAAATAACAACCATAAATTCTAGACACAAATTTTGAAGGCCTAGTTGAAGGCACAGCAAAGCAACCAGAAGCAGGCAGAAGCTACAGGGAAGACCACACTTGGGTGAAAAGACAGTTTTCTGTTTTAATATCTTTTTCTGCTGGGAAACATTTCTAGTCACATAGAAAACCATGAAGAACTTAGTTGTGGAGTCAGGGAGGATGTTCAAGAAAGGGGAAGGCCACAAAAGTGCAAACCGATGTTCTCTCACAAACCCTGTCCAAATATCTGGTTGAGGCCTGAATCATGCACATGAAAAATAACAGTCCAGCCAGCCATGCTGAGGCTGGGAGAATTAAATAGCAGTTTCAGCTATTGCCTGCTCTAGAGGAACGGAATTTGAAGTCTGAATTCAAACAAGTCAAATTTTTATTAAAACAAAAAAGCCAAGTATCCCCAGAGGGATGAAACAGAATCCCAGAGGTACCTTTGACAACATTCAAGGTAACAACATGAAAATTACTAGGCCTATCATTCTTAGTTATGTACCAGTCAATAAGGCACAGAAAACTGCAAAGCCAAGGCAATCCTCTGTAGTACTGATGTTAATGTCTGAGCTATGGGATCAATAGGAGTGGACTGGAATCTTCACTTTGTTACTAATTTTTGGATTATGTGAACTTGGGCGGGTTAAGTTCTCTAGGTCTTACCGGTAAGATTTCCTAATTCATAAAAAGAATGACAATAGTAGTCTAAATAACATAGCATGTAAATAGACTGAAATGATACATGCAAATCAGAGTAAGTGCTCAAAAATACTAATACTTCTATTATGCAAAAATAAACAATTTCAGGTGGTTACATAATACAGGAAACTGGCTGAATAATGCAAAGGAACATGGGATCATGATCATTTTACAGGACTTTTGCTTAACCCATACTGAACTGAATTTGAGTACAAGTAATCTTTATTAAAAGTACCCAGGGATTAAGCAGTTGTTGAACAATGATGGATGAGAACACGGATAGATGGTGGGCTGTGCCAGGTGCCAGCTGGGATGCCTTGTTAAACACCCATTCTAAATGAAGAGCCACACACTTCCACTAGGGGGAAGACCCATTTCTCCATATTCTGGAACAGAGCAGGTGGGGAAGCAACTGCAGGGTCAGAAGGAAAGATTATTTCCATCTGATTTTAGTGCCTTTTCTCAGGGGAGAGGTCATTGACTAAAGATGTGGGCTCTCCTGCTACTTCTCTTGGGACGAGGTAGGATCTTTGTCTGGGGTTCGTGTTAGTGCTGAGAAGAGGTTTGAAATATTTTCCCTCCAGAGGGTCCAAAGCCACCAGTTGGGATGGGGGAGATGTTAGATTAGAGGATCCTGACAGGATGACGATTGGAAAGACAAAAAGGAGGCAGTGCTGGGGGTCTTT